CGAACGTACCTCAATCAGATTGAGGACGTTTTTAGCAAAGGCCAGCTTAGGAGTACCCTAATTAAGTTAATAACAATGTACCTACCTAGATAGTTTAAGTTGAAAAAATTTGGCTCTCAAAAGAAATTTCAATCGTTGTACTGTTGATATTTGGCTCTGTTGACTAATGAGTTTGCTGACCACTGGGCGACACCATCCACCAGTTACAAGCGAGGCTGTCCAGCTTTGCCACTGATGAGCAGCACGTAAGGAAATTCAAAAGCAGTCTCCGCTGTGGAGTCACGTCAGTACTCTGGCCAATTTCTTCTTGTGGACTCCTTTTAATTGGATGAGTTTCATTAGGAAACAGGTCCCAGGTGGCAGGGTTAGGACAGGACAGGCAGCACCACCTGAGCTGTGTTCTTACCACTGTGCTCCACACTAGGTGGCTCACTGATGCCAGGATGGCTGAATTGCTGAATCCCACTCCCAGGGGGCCCAAGGGAGTGTTGATGGCAAATGTTTGTGCACAGAAAATCCTATGCTTTTGTATTTAGATTTCAATGGGAGAAATTTGACAGAAAGACTATGTCCCGCATTTAGGTCAGGACACCGAACCCTCTGTTTCCAGTGGCCATGCCATCTCCACTGCAATGCAACGAAGTAGTGGTGGTGTCCAATTCCTGGTGTGTTTGTGGAAATCCAGAAGTGATCCAGCCACGCTGCTGGTCTCCAGGGGAGGTTTGAAGCCGACATCCGTGAGCCTGCGCCATGGGACCCTGGGGCCTGAGCACGGGGGCTGCCAGGACACAGAGATGAGGCCCTGGCCAAAGCCTAGAGCACGGTGCCTGCTGTCCTTTCTCAAGAGAATAGGGAGGGCAAAGGCAGGGCAGAGCCCAAGTCACATGCTGTCCCAGGAGACCCCTGACCTAGGGTTCCTCAACTGAGGGAGGCGGTGAAGACAACCCTGACTGGGAACCCCACGCCACCACTCCTCTCAGCTGCCCAGCAATGTTCTGAACCAGGAAGGCATCCCAGCCTCTCCAACAGCCCACCCACAAACACAGCTAGTTCTCCCTGCCCAAGCTGCAGGCCCAGCGGTAAATCTCAGCCCTTAAATGCAGAATTGAATGCACTGCCCAGCCAAGCATCGTGGATAAACTGGATGCTGCTTGTCCCTAAGGGCTGCCACTCCCTGACACCAGGTCTTGAAAATGACAAGGAACAAAGGTAGAAAATGACAGGCTCTAGACAAGGTTCTGAACAGAAAATATCTCTGTTGACATGTCACACTCCAGCCCCTTCAGTTCCTTTATAGAGCTTTTGCACTTGGCTCCTTTCGATCACTTCCGGATTTCCACAAACACATTTCCACAAATGGACACGACCACTACTTTGTTGCAACAGAAAAGGGATGGCCACTGGAGACCTGAAAGTAAGAGGGCTGAGTGTCCTGAGTTAAAATGCAAGATATATTCTCTCTGTCACATTTCTCCCACTGAAACCTAAATGCAAAAGCATAGGATTTTCTGTGCACAAACATTTGCAACCAACCTAATTAGAAGCACAGTTTTTATCTATTTCAAATTTGCACATAAAACCTTCACCTATGCCCTCTCTTCTGCTTTGTTTTCTACAGTTTCTCACATCCTTGACCAGGAAGAAGCGGCAGACATCACCAACTACAAATGAGGAAACGGAGGCCCAGAGACCAGACGCTTGTCCCAGGCACCAGATGCACACAGCAGGGATGGGACCTCACACAGCCAACAGGCCGCACACGTGCACGAGTGTCAGCTGGTTCTGACTTCGTTTTCCCTACGGGAGACCCCACAATGCCCTGTGTGCACCGAGATCTGAAACCCTCTGGCACACTCTGGGAATAAAGGAAAAACAGGGCTCCACGTAGAGACGAGGGTGCATATGTCAGGGCTCCAGGTCATTCCGACCCTCAGCACTGCCCCTGGACACCTACCCTGGAAACAAAACCCTCAGACATCAGGACCCTGACCCCCAGGTTGCCTCCCCAGCTACAGGCAGACACTGCTCAGTGTAGCTTTGAATTGAGGATGACACACACGACTCAAATGAGGCTCCCAGAAGCAGAGGCCCCCACCAGTGAGCCTCCTGAGGAGGCTCCTGCAACAACTGTGCCTCAGATTATCGGAGGAAGTGCCACCAAGCTCCAGGAATATGGAGGTGGTTCACAGGGCCCCATTCAGTTCAGCAGGACCCGACCCATTTAGAGACCACCACCCGAGGGGGGAGGACAGTCATGAGCAGAAAGCCATGGTGGACCTGCCACCTGCCCAGGTCACAGCTGCTATGAACATTTACGTCACAAGGCAAGGGGACATCCATCTGTCCGGTTTTATCAGGTACTTCCCTCCCGAGAGACATCTCAGGTACAAAGCTCCTGCACGTAAATCCCCTGCAAATATCATGTGACTATGAGTGTGGGTGTTTAACATATAACTGCTGGCATCAGAAAATCAACTAGATACGGAAACAGGTGGGAATCATGGCCCCCCTGGGGCTGAGGCACCAGTTGTAAGAACCCAGGGGCCCTGGCTGCAAACACTCTGGGGGCTCTGCCAGCCTGGGAATGGGCCTCCTCAGGGCCAGAGTCTCCAGCCCCCCTGGCACCAGCCACACCGAGGTAGGAGGCAGGACACTGCAGACAGCACACCAGCCTGGGGCTCATACCTGGCCCACTGCTCTCTCGAGGCACCTGAGCCCTCACCACCAGCTGTCTCCACGGCCACCGCCCTGCTGGCTCCCAGGTGGCCTCTGCTCTCTTCCTGCACTCGGCCCTGCTGGCGGATCCAGTGCAGAGTCCACCCTTCCTTCGCTTTGGGGCTGAAGGGCAGGCCTGTGGCTCCTCTGCTCCCTAACCCCCTCCTAAACTTTTGTATAGAAAACTGTAAAAATTATGTGTTGTATTTAATTCTTATACTTTTGGGCTTGTAAGTGGCTTCTGGTACTTCTCACAATAAAAAATTTTTTTGAAGATTTTTAAAAATAAATAACTAGAACTGCCTGGGACTCAGCGCCCATATCTGCTTTGAGATGCCTCAGCCTATCTATCGGCAATGAGTGGCTGGCCCAGCTCATCCTTCCAGAACCATCCCCGCACACCTGAACTCACTTGCAAAAGCAGGCCAAGATCCTGGAGGCCCAATGCTGAGGAAACCAGAGCCCACCAGAACACAACATGGGAGAGACAGTGGGCGCACCCCCCACTTAGATGCCGCCCGGATGCCATGAGCCTCTCCCAACACACACCACCAGGGCAGGTGAACTCTGGAGCAGTGTTCTCCCGTTTCTTGCAAGAAACCTCAGTGACTGCCCAGGAACCTATGCCCCTCCCCCAGGCATAGGCTCCAGTGCCCGCAGCAGGAACTGGCCTTCCAGGACCTGTCCTAAAACCAGCCAGGGGCTCTGAGTGGACAGCATGAAGAGGAGCCAGGAAGCAGGGGAGACCGGGTGTGTGTGGCTGAGGTGGGAGCTGGCACCACGAGGTTTGGGTAAGCCAGTGAGGCTGTGTAAGAGACATTAACACAAAGACATCATGAGGGGGAGACGAAAGCATTTTTGGAACATTCTTTCTAAAAGTACAGAAGTAAGATAAAGACTATTAAGAGCCGACTCTACGGACTGCAGTAACCCAGCTCCAAGCACTGGGCAGGGCGGGTGTTCCAGTCATCATCTTCCTTAACGCTCACAAGGCCGCCATGACAGAGTGGCACATTAACCTGCCCCGAGCCACACAGTCAATTAAGTTGTGGGCGGAGTCGGTCAGGGCCAGAGTACCAGCAGGGTTGCTGCATCCCACCCAATGCCCACATCCCACCAATTCTAGACTGGAATGTTCTGGGTGCTCTGTAGTGTGGGGACAGATGGCAATTAAGACCCGGTGAGAGCACTGGTGCTCAGAGGCCTGCTGGCACCCAGGCCACACAGACCCCCTCCCTGGTGCCAAGCAACCAGCTCCTTTAGAGGACTTGGAAGACTGCTGGCCCAGGGACTGCTGACCTGGAAAGTTCCCGGAAAGGAGCCGGG